GGCAGACAGGACAATATCCCAAGACCCAGCTTTAGAAAAGAAGATCTGTCAGATGCCGCAGGGGGGAAATGGGAATGGTTTGACTTTCTGACCTCATTCAGAAGTCTCTTTCCTCAGAGACACAGACCCTCCCCACGGCTATCCTTACCTTTCCTTACCTGACATGCCCCTTGCCACCACATGCCTGCTCCTGACACTGGAGAGTGTCAACCCCAGTGATACCTCCTGGGGAATTACTAGTTTCCACTACACAGCCCCCTGCAAAGAGGTCCGTGCCAGAGCAGCAATGAAGGGTGGGGACTGGAGATGTCACACTTGCCAAGATTTTCCGTTTTAAGAATAAAAGCATGTTAGCACAAGCAAGTGTCCCTTTGCTAAGAGGAACAGAAGAAGAGTCGGAGCTAACACTCTTCTCCTACTTTCCCTCAGATTGACAGAATGAGGGCATCCCGTTTGGCCAATCCACGGTCTCTCAACAACAGCGAGAGGGAAGACTGTATAATTCTAACAGTCAGGCTTCGGGGAGACACGACTCCTGCACGACAGTATCAGAGTTGGCCTGCAACTCCCCCCATCCTGACACCTCCGGACCAGATCTCAGAGCAAATCCCTCAGAGCTCAACCCAGGTCACCCGAACACCCCGACGAGTTCCGCCCTCTACATTCCCACCGCCATTCTGACCACGTCCACCATCCAAAACAAAAGGACTATACGATCCAAGAGCGATCTGGTCCACGTCTCAAGAAGAAGGCTGATCAGGAAGCATCCGAGTTCCTCTCTGTTTAACGACACTGCCATTGTTTTGTTAGCACTGTCCTTTGTGTTCCCTACCAAAATGATGGATTTGACTTACTGACAGAGGTGAAATCAATTTTAACAGCTGGCCTAGGAACCCAATTCATAGACTGTATTTTTCCTGTGCGTGGGAGTGTTCAGCAATTACTTTTCTACACCAGCTGTGTTCAAAGTAGTGCCCTCCCTAAACCCAATTATCCTAACTTCCCAAACAATCATTTGAAAACTTTTGGAACCGAACCCATCTTTAAAGAGAGACGCTTCTGGCACTTGATGGCTATGCCCAAATAAATGCAGGAAGGTGCCACGGATGACAGATGGAAGATGAGCTCATCCCTGGGCAGACCCTGACAGATGAATGTATAATGAGCACTAGGCCCAATTCTCCAGGCGTTATAAACATGGTCCATAATAAACTAACGCAACACAGTGAGGCTCAGTGCAGGGGTCTTAACCCCATTCCATCTAGTTTTAAGAGTGTATCGCCCAAAGATTACTCATCGGATGTATGGGTCTGCCGCTATAATTAATCATTCTCCGTGGTTCCTTCCACTTCAGGGTGGGTAATACAAATTTCATTACCAGATAAGCCCAGTTGGATTCTGATACAAGCAAGGCAATTACGACATTCATAATAAAGTGGTTATTTCAGGTCAGGAAGACGACGAAGCCTCCGTTTGTACTTGCTGAACAGTTAATAATCTCTGCAAGGAGAGCTGACCTACTGCTCAGAGCAATAGATTAAAATCCGGATGCATTTTTTTTATTGGGGAGGTTTGGGCTATTTTAAGTTTTGTAGGAGACAGCACTTTACATAACCCCGAAGCATAGCAATATTGTCTGATATTCCCATAATTCTTTACGTGATACTAGGAGCAACTATTAAACAGAGAAATAACATAGTTACACCGCAGATGAAGATTCAATGCTTTTCTCTGTGGGTTCTGTAGTCTTAGTGTTCTAGAAGATAATCCATTTTTTGTGGTACACAACTACAGACACATGTCAAAGGGAACCAGAGTTCTTGCTACACGTAATTTCAAAAACATTCCCTCTTAGTTTAAGCCACTCTCCTTCAAATGACATGATGTAATATCTTTCTACTTCGTGTCATCTTAAAATGTTAAGGTATTATGTGTTTGAATATATTGAAATGCCCATAATAATGAAACTGGCGAGTGTGAAGAGAGATGGAGGCACATAACGGAGATTCAATCCCAAACCCAACCTTGGGCTGCTCAGACTGGAGAAAGGGAGTCCACAGAAAGCAGGCAGGTTTCTTCTGCAGAAATGGTACCATTTTTGCTTTTGTGCCTACGGGCTATTGCATAGCTCAGGGCCAGTAAGAGATGTTCAATAACATAAAGATGAAAGGCCTCTCTTCTGAACATAACTTTGCGGTTTCATTTGTTTGGGGTTTGGGTTGGTTGGTTTTCTTGAGGCGTCAAGGAAGGGAAGTGACAGGCAAATTGGAAAAGATCTCCAGGGATAAAAGCCCAGTAAGCAAAAATATTAGCAATAAAGGATCAGGAAAGCACATTGACAGGACAGGGTCGATGGGGAACTTCCCTATCCAGGTAAATCTTGTCTCTCTCTCTCTCTAGAACTTGGCCGACAACAGAGGAAGAGTAGGCGTGATGAGGTTTAGGAGTGGACGTAGCGGCCGTGGGTTAAATGTTCAGCTGCTGAACAAAAGGCTGGGGATTCCAATCCCCCAGCCGCTGTACGAAAGAAATAGGATGCAATCAGCTCCCATCAAGATCCACAGGCTTAGAAACTCAATCGGGCAGCTCTGTTCTGTCGGACAGGGTTGCTCAGAGTTGGAGTCAGCTCCACCCCGGTGGGTTCCGTCCTCGGAACGACCTTCGGAAAGTTCCAAGCCACGTCTGCTGTTGGACCGACCCTGCCGGAGTCACAGCAAAATTGTCCTTTTCACCTTCTCCCCTTCAGTGAAGCGGGTGAGGGCATCTTCCACACCGCTTGTCTTTGAAAGCTCAATGCTATTTAGATTGATTTGCATACAATAATTATTTAGTCAATTAACAAGGTTCTCAGCTGGTCCTTTCAAACTTAAACCAGCTGAGAATTATAGAAGATTCCCTTTCAAAGGAGGGGGGGG